GGACTGGGTCAGGCTTGGGCCAGCCTCTGGCCTGGGACCCTGCTGGACACTGGCATGACGGGTAGCTGAGGCATCAGAAAGGCCATCTCGGAGACTGCTGTCAAAGACAGGTTATTTATTCCAGTATTCGCTCTTCACAGGGGTCTCGCTTTCTGTAAGTAAAGACTGGGAATGTGGTCCTCTGAACAGAAGGGTCAAAGTGTGTAAATCTGGAGAAGGGAGAGGGGGACTTCACCTGTGCAAACCAACTGGCATTCTTGCCTTCCATTTGGTGGCTGTGTGGTGTCGTGGAGCAATGGCGCATCCTTACTTGCTTTGTCCTGCCCTTCAGATGTCAGTTCCTTATGTTTTTTTAAATGTGTCCACCCTTCAATAAGAAAGCAAAGCAGTTGGGAAATTTATTGGGTAATTTTTCTTGGAGCATGGTCATCTTTTAATCTGCCTGTTCACCAATCCAGTCACATCTCCCCAGATCGGTGGAGGATAGTAAAGCTCAAAGTAAACAGGACAGCTTTTGCCATGGAAACAAAAGTTGCTAGGGGATGGATTGCTACTACACAGTGGTGTGCTCTGAAGCCGTGATCATACATCCCACGTGTTCCTAGGCACCTCGGGTTTAGGCACTGAAAAACTTTTAATGATTAAACCACTTCCTGCGGCCTGGATGCATGTTCTAAGCTCGTGCGTATCGCAGATTTGGGCAGCAAAAGAGAGTTTCCCAACATTTCAGTGTTTAGCAAAAGTTTCCCAACATTTCAGTGTTTAGTTTCTCAGCCATGAAGGTGAGGCATGCAAATACACATCAACACTCAAAAGATCATAGCTACTGCAGTATTTATTCATCCGGTGTACATGGATGCTGTGACATACGTTTCCTTCTTATTTATGGAGAACTGTTTTCCCCCACCATATTCTGACTGTTTCAGTTCCTCTGCCCCATCTGTAAGTAGCAAGAACAACAACATTATGTGTACATTGCAGCTGAGAAAAGAGACTATCTTAGGCCAAATTATCAGGCTGCTTCAATGAGTCATATAGGGCTGGGAAGCCTTCTTCTTTTCTCTCTTAGTGACAAGATATTTTGCAAAAGATAGGAGATTACTTATAAGTGGAAGAGTCTGAGCATAAAGAAAATGTTCGGTAGGACTAATATTATGCAGTGCTTGAAAAGAATTAATGATGCTGGCAGTCCTTTTTTTCTTTTTTTTTCTTCCATTTTAAAAGGTCATACTACTTGATGCTATCACAACTCTTTCAAGCAAAAGATCATTTTTTTGTTTTCTATTCCACCTCCCAGCTCTTATCTATCATTTTGCTCGTATGTCTGACCGAAACTACCTATCAGCATTTTAGATTGCTAAAACAAAAGAATCTATGTGTAATATAAGTGATTCCAGGCTGTGTGATTCTTATAGGCAATTCTTCATCACCTTCCTTTCTCTCCCTTGACTAAACCCACAGACAGTGCAGTGAATGCAAGATAGTGTTTATACAGCTTTCTGTCACATTACATTGAGTTTTCTTAAATTGATTGCAATAACCACAGTTGCTGGTTCAGACTCAGCAATGTGCTTCACCTGCTTTCTGAGTTCTGGAGAAACCAAAGAAGCTCTAAAATTGTCTCCTGGTGGCAGCTGGAGTAATGCAAGTGAGCTTTGGCAAGCCATATTATGTGGTCATGTTAGGTCTGGTCCTTCCCTGTGTTGACCTTATGGAGTCACTTACACCTGGGGAAGATACCTCCCTTTCTGCTCATTATGTGGTGCTAAATATGCTTACCTGAACGACTTAAGTTGGCAAGGAGTTAAGCATAATTTATTTAAGGAGGTAGGGTTGATGGGAGAATAAAGATCTAAGTAAGGACCCCAGGGAATGAGTCTCTGCAGAGCTTTGGTTGGCCTCTTTACTTTCTTCTCTTTCTGATGTGGGAGATGTGCTTGCTTACTCACAACCAAAAGACACATTGAGGGATATGGACATAAACTGTTCCTATCCTTGAGGAAAAGGCTGTGTGACCCTGTGTGTGAGAGCTGGGGCAGCTGTGGTAAACTACACCATTGCTTCATCCTCTCCTTTCACCCTACGGTATTTTTATGAGGTGGGCAGAACTCCGGTTTTATGAGAACACTTCAGTGCTTGTCCTGTGGAAGATGGCAGCTAGCTATTGAAGAAATGGTGGCAGTGAGAAAAGAGGACTTCTTTTCTTCTCTTTTCAGGTAGGGAATAAACAGCAGAAGGAGGGACTCCCAAGGGAAACAAAAAGAGCTCTTTTGCAAAAGAACAAACAGACTCCAAAGGTAGAATAAATTTTAGCGCTTCCCCACAAGAATTCAGATTATATACTTGTATCCATACCACTATTTTTTTTTGTACCTCAAAAAGTAATAGTGTTCAAAAGCTCATAGCATTGTAAAAGAGCACAACAAACTTTTTTGTTTTCAACATTTTAACTCTAGTGGGAAATGTCAGTGTTAGCGACATACAACTTGACACGGGGTGGCCCGGGTGCCAGGCTCTCCCTGCGCACCTGGTGAGCAACTGGTGCTGCCCAGGAGTTTCCTGCTGTCTCGAGGTCTCCATCCACCTTGTCTGTTTCTCTATCCTGCCTGGGAAGGCCAGCAGCTTGAGCACACTCTGGAGGGCACTGATGCTGTACCATCAGCAGGGAGCAAGCCCACCCACCAAGTCAGAGAGTGTGCTTCTTTGATTTCCTAACACTTTACGGTGGCTGAAGTGGAAAAGGGAAACCTGCAGGGGATGCAAAGGCATTTCTGGGTTCAAAGAAGGGGCTCCTGCCAGAAGCTGTGCCTGGTGCTACCCCTGCTGCTCTGCAAAGCTCAGCCACTCTGGCCCTTGCTAGGGCCCCCAGCATCATGCAGGCCTCCTCCTCCACTCGGTCATGACTTCTCTGAGAGCCTTGAAACCTCATCACAAGTTGCAAGAGAGATATTTGCAATTATAAGATGTTGAGATCATGACATCCTAAACTAAATACATATTAGATATACAAAATAAGTAAAAACCAAGATTACCGGTTCTTTTAAAGAGGAAAAAGCAAACACCCTCTTTACCCCTGAGCCAAGAATGCAACCAGATTCCAAAAGGCTGGAAGTTCACTGTTATACCAGTGGTGATTGATTTCAGAGCCAGCCAAGAGCTTCATTCAGGCTGTTGTCATTCCCCATCGATAACTTTCTGGCTTCTGCTTAATTTAAATGGAGCAGCGTTTGTTTTTCTTGCGTACTCGGGTATGTCATACCCAGCAAGATCACCCATTCCTGAAGGGCAAAGGGCTGTAGGGCTGCAAGATTGGGAGGTTCTAGCTGCCATGAGCATGTCAAACCTTCCTTCCTTCCCTCTAAGTAAAATTGCTGTGGCAATCAGATGAACTGCTTGAAGCTGATATAAATTGAGCTGTGACATTCAGATATAAGTACTGATTAACAGTTCCCTTTGGACTAAGACTTTTTGAACTTCTTTAAAGAGAAGTCAGTCAGCTTAAGTAACATTGACCTGTTGATCAAGGTTTTTAGGGGCTAGTATTACTTCAATGAATTCAGTAGCATCACACCTGTGCAAGCAAGTTCAGGCCTGGGACCTGCATAGTTAAATATAAATTTTGTGTGTTAGGAGAACTTCCATGAAGTAGAAAGAGTAGGGAACATTGTTTTCATAGCAGGCAAAATTCTGCTTTTATTAAAGTCAGCAGGAGTTTGGGCATTGACTTCTCCAAGGGAGCAGTGATTTGCCACAAGTTTAGTATTTCCATTTCACTCTCTTCAGTGAGCAGATAGGTGCTGTTATGGCATTCCATCTTTTTCATTTGTAATTATCCATATTTAAGTACAGGATATATACAGTTTCAATCTCTCTAGGGCTTATTTTGTCTCTGTTTCTCATGGCTATGAATGTTGTATCAATGCTTAGGCCTGCACTTCAAAAGCTCGGGCAAAAACATTAAAAAAACCTTACCCAGCAGTTTGGAAAGTTGCTAAGGTTGCAAACTCTAGTTAACTGATAGAAGCAATCTGGATGAGAGGCAACATGAGCCCTTGAGGGATGCTGGCTTTTGTTACCTGATATATTCTGCTTTTTTCCGTCTCCACGGAAACACAGTGGCACGCTAGTGCAAAAGATGGGGAGTGGGCACCCTGCGTATGGGAGGGGATGTTCCCTGCAGCACCTTTAGGCTGTGCTGTGCCAAGACGCTGAGTGCCTGGGGCTCACTTGAGCTGAGTCACGGCATGCAACTCTACCAGGCTCGTTTCTTGGTTTGGAAAAAGGGAAGGAAGGGTCTCTCCTGGGCTGCTTTTCTTCATGTCATCTGTAGAGTTTGTAGCCAGCTTTGCTCTCCCGCCACATCGATAATGATCTGCTTTGCATGAAACCTCTCATTGCAGGTAGGAAGGATGAGCTCCTATGCTGACATCTGCGGGTCCAAGCATGCGCAGGGCAGCACTGAGGGAGGGTACCAACGCTACGGAGTTCGGTCCTACCTGCATCAGTTTTATGAGGACTGCACAGCTTCAATATGGGAGTATGAGGATGATTTTCAGATCCAGAGATCGCCGAGCAGGTGGAGCTCTACATTCTGGAAGGTACTACCTGTTGCTGTTTAGTGGAGAGAGAAATTCCCATTTCAAGACTTTTCCATGCAACTAATGGTTTTAGGTAGTCATCCAGAAAGGCCTTGTGTTGCTCAGTTTTCCCTGAGATGACTGAATAATCATCTTTCTGAAAGCAGGGTGCTCTTACCAAGATACATCAGCTTCCAAGGGAGTTCTGGGGTCTTTGGATCCTCTAGTTTCTCTGTCACAAGGAGCCATGTCACTGAAACATCAAAGTCTTGTCTGGGAAACCCCACCCATAGCTTGAAAGTGTAGTTTACCTCTGCTCTGCACTCACAATAGTCCTGCCAGGTTATTGGGAATAGGACTGGTAGGTTAGCAGCAGTAACTCTGGGACTGCGTGATCTAGGGATCAAGAAAACTGCAAGATCTCCATTAAGGTCAGGGAACTTGACAGAATTGGAGGACACCAGAGATTGGAAGGGGCCTGTGAAGCCATCTCATCCACCCTCTCTGCTTTGATGGTACGGCCATTCTGTGTGAACCAAATTTTGCACTTATATTTGAAATGTGCTAGAAGTATTCTAGTGATCTGTTCATGGCAATAGCAACTTCCTTCTAATCCCTGCAAAGGAAAGACATTTCATGAGGTGAAATCAAGTGGTGGATATGACACAGACTATCAGCAGGGACTGAACTGTCGATGCTAACCACCACCTAAAGCTAGAGAAATAATCAGTCACACAGCACTGGGGTTAAACTGTGATCCTCTCTGTGATGGGGCCTGTGGACATGAAATGCTATTTAGATGTATAGATGTACATTCCATTGTTTCCAGAAATGTCAATACTGAATTATATAAATATGAGTTGTAAAAAGACAGTTTCTCCATATATTCTAGTTCTAGTAGGGCCACATATGACCTAAAAGAAAAATATCAGCCTTCTCCTAGAAGAGGGAACTGTACCTGCAAGACACGGTGAAAGCTAAATGCCTCCTAGGACCACTTACCAACTAAAAACTGGAAAGGCATATTAATTAATTGGGGTTTTTGTTTCTTTCTTTGTTTTCCAGGTCGGACTCATCTCTGGGATGGCTTTTATGCTGATAGGTTTAACGGTTCTTGTAGTGGGTTTTCTTGTGCCACCGAAAATCGAAGCTCTTGGGAAAGATGATTTTGTTGTGGTGGATACTCGTGCTGTTCAGTTTAATGGGTCCCTTGATATATGCAAGCTGGCAGGAGCAATCTTGTTTTGCGTTGGAGGGTCCACCGTGGCAGCGTGTCTGCTGATGTCTGCTTTTGCTAAAAGTTACTCCAAAGAAGAAAAGTACCTCCAGCAAAGATTTAAAGAGAGAATAGCTGATATAAAAGCCCATGCAAACCCAGTCACAAAAGCGCCAGCACCGGGAGAGTCAAAGATACCTGTCACTTTGTCCAAAGTTCAAAATGTCCAACCTTTATCTGAAACCTGATGCTTTCCTTAGGTTTTGTTTCTCACTTGCAGATCACTTCAACTGGAAAATACCAGCTGTTGTTGGCATATGTGCTAGTTAATTACAACATCGAGTGCTCTGCTATACAAACACACAGCTGATGGGGAAGCTGCTCCAATACAAATTTAGGATTGGGAAAAGGGAAATTATGTGATTAGACCTGTGACCAATATATTCAGTGTATTTGAACATTTTAATCTGTGTTGAACCAGTAAGTCTTTGCAGCAACGATTAGGTGTTTAGCTTATCAGATTGCATCCCTGGAAAACATAGGGTGCGTTTATGACAGCTGTACCAGGAACACCCTAGATCCTACTGTTTAAAGTTTAGATGAATTGGCTTTTTGTTTAATTTTCTTCTTGCCTTTAAAATACTCTTTAGTCTTACTTTTACCGCCTGGTTCTGCTGTCTGGGAAGCCAAGATTCTGCCCTTGTAATTTGCACTTGTCCTCCTGTCACATGCTACAGTCTGTGTCGAAGTAATGCTGCACAGGTAAAACACACATGACAGTGAGCGCCCTTAATTTGATCCTGGCACATGTCGCTTCCCAGCAATGTTACTTTCTGGGAAAGGCAAGTTATACTTGATCCTGAGTTACAACTAACCTGTGCAAAACTGCCACTTTTGTCTTAGTCATTGCCATATTAACAAAAAATACAAAATAAAGATAAGAATTCATATAGGAGGAGGAACATCATACTTGTGTGTCTTTGGTTTGATACTGTTTTTTCATTATATTGTATTATGTTTGAAGCTTCTACAAAATGTTTCAGTTTTGGCTGGGTATGGATTACTAAATGTGGTTTGATATGCTCAGGCCCCGTATTCTGTCAGTACATTAATGCCATGTTAGATGACCTTGACATACTTATCTAAATTCATTTTGAAATGCTGTTTATATTTTTATAGAGGATAGAAAAAGTTATGCTTAACCAGATACATTTGTGTAAATGCTTACCTGAAGACTTGTCCTTTCACGGAAGACCCTTAATTATTTTCCCACCCAGGGCAATTATTTCACTGTCTTAATCTATGGATTTAAATTAAACTGTATAAAGAAAGATGTGACATTTGTACTCTCTGACAATATGTGCCATCCTATAGTTCTGTCTATTTTTTGAATGGATTGAATAAAATTCTAGGCGTGAGCCAACCATCAATTTCTTGAAAAATCTCTTTCTAATCAAAGGGGTTTCTCTATAAATCTAATATTTCAGTTTGAAAGGAGAAATTGGCAGTCGAAACTCACCGGTCTCTTAATGCAGTCTCTGTTTTCAGCTTTCATAGGTGAGGAAGTCACTTTGGTGCTGAACAAAAAAGATTCTAGCACACTAACGACAGGTAAATGGTAACAGCTGTGCTCTTTCCCGTGCTGATAAAACATTTTGTGGTCTGTGACTCTGTTTGTACTTCCACAGCTTAAATAAACCAGAACGTACGTGTTTGGAAGTTTCAGCTGAATCTGCGATAATTATCATGGCTGACAACAGCATTGGAAGTAAAATTTTCTTCTGAAAAGAAAGTGCCTATCTTAGCAACACAATTGCAGTGTCCAAACGTTAGCACTGAAAAGATGGACAGTCAAGAGCTCGTCACATGCACACGATTAGAGTGGATGAAATGAAGTAGGTTTTGGTGCATCTGACAATCCACTGGCACCCATATATTAGAAGTGCAAAAGCACATTGCACCCAATTGCTTAAAAATAAGATTGTAATCTCGAGGGAGAAATAGATGAAGCAGTGCTAAAGAGGAAAAGATGAGAAGACTGGTAAGGTGAGGAGCTGTGTATTATTTATAAAGAAAGCCAGCAAGAACAGGGGTGATGGGTAGCGATTCCTCACAAGGAAGGCACATGGCAGGACTGGGACACAGAGACAGGCTGTCACTGCTGCCACTTGTTAGTTATTCCAGGTAGAGAGGGACCTCAGCGCTTTCTTTACAGGTTGGGAGGAATTTTGTTTACTGCTATTATCTTTCACTGCTGTCAGGCTATCGGTGCACAGGCAGCAGAGAGTCAAGCTGTCCTGACCTTTTCAATGGGGAGTTTTTAATTAAAAATTGTGCATGGAAGAAATGTGACATTCTAAGTTTTACAGTGAAGTTCACCGAAGGAGGTGAGAGTGAGGGCTCCTGTAGCTATTACTGAGTCCCTTCTCCTCACCTGGCTTTTGTTAACACGGTACTGGAAGTTTGACTGAAAATCCAGCTAGAAAAGAAAACACAGGTTGGGCTTGTTTACCCAAAGTAGCTATATGGGTATACAGTTCTCCTTAAAACACACCCTACATGTAGATACACACATGCAAGTGTTGATAAATGTTTGTCCAGAGGACAGCTGACCTGAGAGAGAATGAATAGAGCTGATACAGGCACCAGGCATTCGATCCCATTGAGCATCGCTCCTGCAGAACTGAACATGCTTTGACAGTATGAGAGAGGATGAGTCATGCATGGCATTACCCAGGTGTTAGGGAGAAAGAAAAACCCTTGAGGATCATACTGAAGCTTGCTGGGATAGGAAATGCATTTGGGATTTATCAGCAGCAGCAAAGCTGGTAATGCTGTCATGGCTAATGTTGCCACACACATTTCACCTCATTAAACCCTTGTTTCAGTTGCTTAGAGCTTTTCCAGAATTGAGACCTCTGGAGGCTGCAATCCTTCACAGCAGAGAATCAGTGCCGCATAGGGCTGTTGTAGAAATACTGAGCAGAAAATTACTCTGCTACTATTAAAAAGCCACATACTGGAAAGTTTAAGACATGTGAGAAACATTTTAAAGATCCATTTCCTTGTCATGTTTTAACACCTTCATCCTTTGGTGCAGGAACCAAAGCATCAGAAAAAGAGCAGTGGAGATGTGCTTTTTGCTGTTCTCATGGAAAATGCCTGTGATATGGCCTCCAGCTGGGAAGCAGCAAGGAGCAGCCAAGCTCTCCGGGAACTTTCCAGTAAGGCTGAGGGCAATCTGTCCCTGCACATACCGGTTCCCTACCACATATCTTTTTCCCTTTTCCCATCCTAACCAAATTGCAGCACACGCTCCACTCCGGGACTGTGTGGGACTTCCCCTCCCAGCACCGGCTGCCATCACCTTTCCAAAGGGCACATTAATGGACTCCCTAGTGCAAATAAAATATGGCTTAAGCAGCCAAGCTCTTTTTTTTCCAACCCTCTGACCTCCCCACTCAAGAAGCTTCTTTCAATTTCTTCATGCTCACCTTATTTCTTGCCCCACTTCTAGCCTCAGTTGGCTTAAAATTACAATGCAACACCCTTTTCTCTGCAATTGTGGTGAAAGAGATCACATTTTTCTGTCTGAGTGATAGTCACTGGCTTCATTTTTGTTAATACATGCTCTCCTGAAGGTTAGGTCTGCTTCCCCTACCACGCTGTGCAGAAAAGGCTTCTCTTTAGCGTCTGTTCTGTCCTCCCTCTTCCAGGCTGTCCTGACCCCTTTATCTTCCGCTTGTTCGCAGTGCACCATGAATCACAGGCAAAGGCAGAGATGCAGAAACATCCCCTCCTCCCGAGCTGACTGTAAGCAGATTTAATTCCCGGTTTCTGCTACAGCCTCAGCCTGCCATTTCCAAGTATGAGATTTTTAATCACATGCAAGCGCAAGCAAACAGCTCTTCAAGAAAGCAATGGCAGCAGCAGCAGAGTAGGGAGGCTGCAGCCTCCTGACCAGCAGCCAGCAGAGAGAGGTTTGGCAGGGGGAGAGCAGCAGCAGAACCTGCACACCGGGGAGGCTGTTCAGCCCCTGAGGATGTGAAATCCAAGTGAGACAGGAAAAGACTGCAAGAACCATAGTTGGATGCACTTTGCCAGCAGCTTTCTATCAAAGGGCTAATAGCAGAACAACAATTTTGGTAAAATAAAGGAATTAACACTTTGGCTCATTCAGCACTGACTGGTCATCCTGCCATTACACAGCAGGCTGCCCTCTCAGCTCACGGCACGTCAGGGGTAGAAAGACAACACGATGCTCCCTGAGCGGGCTTTGGAGGCACAGCCTCGCACCCTCCTCATCCCACCACTTCTACTGCCGAGAGAAGCAGCGTCTCTACGGAGCATTACCCCATGCCGGCCATTTGGGGTTAATGCCCACGCACCACTTACAGAAGTGATGTTTGGGTTTTGCCAGGTCATCCCCAGGGCACAGTTTGTCCCCGAGGAACATCATCGCAAATGGGGAGACCCATGTAGCCTCCTTCTGTTTCCGATATTTAGAGACTGCATGTGCTCCTTCTGGAGCCTTCTGATCTCTGGGCAAACAATCCATCCACACCCTGATTTTCTTCAGCTCTTATCTGGACACGCGGCAGACCACACAGCGCACGTTTCCTGCATTAATTCACTTGATATACATTAAGCAGGGCAAAGCTCAGTTTTGCTGTCAGATAATTTACAGAGGGACTGTTATGAAAATAATCTCTGCATATTAACAGTAAGTCAGGCCAATACATTTAACAGCCCCGCAAACGAAGAGACAGCATGCAAGTAACTGGCTTTATTGTTTTGCCTAATCATTTGCAGCTGGTTTTTGCAGGCCCGCTTTTTCCATAATTTACCATTCATGGGTTTTTGCAAATACAGATTTTTAAACACTGCTAATAAGCTAGTCAATTTAACAATGTACTAGATATGCTGCTCCAGCAATTTCAGCCTCAAGACTCATGGCTTCAGGCTATTGCCTAGCTAAAGGCACCCCCAGTCTGAGGCTGGCAGGATGCTTCTTCGACCGGCGAGCGGCCTTTCTGGAATGTCATTATTTCCCTGCGTCTACTCACCTCATGACTTCAGCATCTGCTGCCCTTTCTCTCCCTGCCTCCTTCAGGAACCTCATGCCCTGGTATTTCCTTCCTCAGTCTCTGCATCTATTTTCGGCACAGCGGCAGGGATGAGGGCGAGAGGGACCCCTTCCTCAGGCACGTCTTGGAGGAGATGCAAAACGTGCCTGCCTGAAACAGCGGCATGGGAGAGGCAGGTCTGCAGCACAGGCAGGAGGGACATGAAGGGGGAGAGAGGCGAGTGGGAAGGAATCCCTGGGGGAGATCTGGCAAAATGCAGCATCTCAAGCATCAATATTGGTCATCTGTCAGTGAAGATCAGAAGAGATAGTCAGTGAATACTGAAAGCACAGAAAAACGTGCTGCAGGTCTAAAATCTGTGACATAAATATGGTGGCTAAAATCTTCATGGAAGTAGTCATTTAAAAAAAAACTTTTAACATCAATATTCTGTTCACCACAGATGAGTAGACAAGCATGAGGACCTTATTCTTGGACAATGCATTGTCC